GAAAAAATTCCTGTTACAAGAATGTTTTTTTTTCTTCTCCTGTGAAGTTGTATATATAGAACTGTGAAAAAGCCTTAAGCACATAAGGAGACTGTTTAAAACCATTTATCTCAGCACATATTTGTGCTTGTAAAAGCACCAAATATCATTAGAGTAAATGCGAATAAACATGAATACAATAAAAAGTAACAAGAATTAAGTGTTGATAAGCCAGAATAGACACTGGATGATAACTAAAATTATTATTGGGCTGCCACAAGGAAAGCTTATGTGTGTTTGGAAACCCTATGTGTGTTAATGTTAATTAACATTAACATTAACACACATAAAATGAGTACTTACTGTATTAATGTTGTTTGGTTTTTTATATTATTTGTATTATTTGTAGCCTGCAACGGACTGCTGACCCACCCAGGGTGTGTTTCCTGCCTTCTGCCCAATGACCGATGGAATAGGCTCTAGCACCCGCCGCAACCCAGAAGGATAAGAGGCTTAGATTATAAATATATTAAGTAGGCAGTTCATGTGCACAACGAGCTATGAAACGTACCCTTTGACAATAGTCAGAAGTCTGGATTGCAAGACAACATTGGTTGTAACTCCAAACAAGGCAGTAGATGTGACCTTGTCATATTCCCAAGTTTACAGTTTTGGTTTGAGACGGGGGGAGTTACTGTTGGAGAATGGAAACTATGAACATCCCTGCAATCACTTGAGATTTGATTTTGAAAATGACTGGTTTGCATTTGAAACACACTCCCACTTCCTCAAATTCAACTGCGGTGTGATCTCCCAAGCCTGGAAATCTAGCTGCCTCTGAGGTAGACCTACCCTGAACTACATCCACAAAAATGAAGTGTATTTTATCTCCAGAACAGAAGTGATTTCACAACTTCTCATGCTTCAGTAAGAGAAAATAACTGGACTCAATCATGCGGTACTCAAGCAGAAATTGCATCTCTCCATCCCAATGGATCCTAACGCATAGTAATACACCACTGCCAGAAAGAGCTATTTAGCCTGGCAGAATGTGTTTAGTATTACAACACGCTCCTCTAACCACTATAAATCTACAGCAAATCAAGAAGCGATAATGGTTAGAGATTTATGTTTTTAAATACATTATTTCTGAAAAGCCGGTCCTAAATCTTTCTTCATGAGTTGAATTGGCTCCTTTTTCCCAGATCCCTGTCTAGGTTCTTTAAAAACCTATCAACTCTACAAGTTTCCAAAAGTTGGGTCACAGAAATGAGAATGTGTCATCTGCTACTTTAATATACTGAATTTCACTCCAACGAAAACAGCACTAATAATGCACTTATGCTGTAAATGCTCAGAATCTTATTCAGCTGGCAGGACAGGCTTCTGTGCACCAGAGGGTTTAAGCTCCTTAAAGGTATCTTGTGACACACAGACCACCCAAGCCGGGTAGTGTCAACACTTATAAATCCATATTTCAGAAGTAGATCATAATGATAGTGATACCACTCATTTCATGACGTTACACTATTTAGTCAATCCATAGGCTTTGGCTACTTAATTATTGTGTAATATTTGACCTTTGATTCATTATGTAAAATGGGACTATGTAAGCTTGCTGTAACCTCCGACTATTTAGTTTAACCATAGTATTTCACTAGTTAGTCATTCTATAACATTTGATTATTTAGGTATTTTTTAACATCTAGACAATTTGTAATATTTGACTATTTGGTCATTCTGTAACATTTGACTATTTACTTATTTTATAATAATCAACTACTGAATCATTCCGCCTTTGTCAATTTAGACCTTCCAAAACATTTGACTGTTTATTTATTACATAATATTTGACTATTAGTCATTCTGTAACATTTGACTATTTAGTCATTCTGCAACATTCGACTATTTAATCATTCTGTAACATTGAATGTTTATTAATTCCTTCATATTTGACTAGTTCATTATTTCACAACATTTGTCTTTTTAGTTATTACATAATATTGACTGTTTAGTCACTCTGTAACATTTGACTACTTATTTCATAACATTTTACTATTAAGTCACTTGGTAACATTTGACTGTTTTTATTACATAATATTTGACTATTTAGTCACTCTGTAACATTCGACTATTCACTTATTTCATAATATTTGACTATTTAGTCACTCTGTAACATTTGACTATTCACTTATTTCATAATATTTGACTATTTAGTCACTCTGTAACATTCAACTATTCACTTATTTCATAATATTTGACTATTTAGTCACTCTGTAACATTTGACTATTCACTTATTTCATAATATTTTACTATTACATCACTCTGTAACATTTGACTATTTTTACTACATAATATTTGACTATTTAGTCACTCTGTAACATTTGACCATTAAATTTTTCTTTAACATTTGACTATTTAGTCATTCCATAACTTCTGTATACTTAGTCTTTATAAACATAAATGTTCTGATTTAAACATCATCACTGAAGTAACAAAATCTCACATCTCCTAAAAGGTAACTTTATAAGAGAGTGTTCTTAACTTTAATGTACATTACAGGAAGTACATTAATAACTAATTTTGGATCATTTCTACTGGTCTGTTCACCATGAAATCTTCACACAATGTGAAGTGTTTTGAAAAAAAAAAAAAGTAAAAATTAAGTCAGATGGTTCTGCAGAACTGTGACCCTGACTGGAACCAATTTCCCTACTGGCATCAAATGAACAAGCAGTTGTAGTTCAATCTTTGTCAAAACTGAGTTATTTATTTTTCTATTTAGATATGCATTCTTCATAAATGTGACACAATGTCAAATAAGTTGCGCTTGGATGCCATTAGAAAGGTCCTGAAGGCTGCGTGCTGTGAAAAGATAAACACAAATGTGTTGTTGTCGAGGGAAATCATACAGTGAGCACACACGATACTGCAATAAAAAACACAGATGAGACTGACTCTACCTGGGGTGCTGAAGCTGGTAAACTAACCACCTGAAAGAGATTATTTGTAATCAAGCAGTGTGTAACTAGCAAGCAGGTGTCATTATTAGCTCTAATTGCAAGGAAAATTGGCAAGGTGAAGTGCTGTGAAATTATCACGAGTGCTCAAAGCCCTTCATGTGTAAATTTTTGCATGCCAACACAGTGCAGCTGCTGTAAAAACAGCACAGCTGCAGTTCAAACTGCACCACTTTACTTGTTTAGAATGTGACGAAGGCTATTTTTCACATACACTACTGGCTTCAGATGTAAGCTTCTCAATACAGTATCTGTTGAACACATTACATCCATCAAAGTAAGGAAACTCCAAATGTGCAAAACATGATGCTTTCAGAATGACTAAATCGTTTCTTGAAGGGAGAGAAAAATACTGCAGAGTGCCTCGTAAAAGACTTCATTAGACGCTTTTGGTGTGAAACCGAATATTGAGGATTTTGTGCCAGCTCGCTCTTCATTCCCTTGACCGGCAACTTCTGTGTGAAAAAGCAAGAAAAACAAAAAGGCCCATTGACTCAAGCTTGTGCTCCGGGCCTATAGTGGCGTGGGATTCGAATGACTGAAACCACAAGTCTGGAGGCAAGCAGGCGCAAAAAAAATGAAGGAAATACATACATAGATAAATAAACTGTGTCACATTTATGAGTGCCTTGTTTTTCACATTTCTTTCCAAATGACAGTCACAGATTGGGTTTCGGAAGATCGCACCATGGTCTGTTCAGGTGGCAGGCCACAGTCAGCTTGGCAGAACCTCCTTGTGTTCGCCAAAGTATTCGAGGCATTCTGAGATATTTACAATGCAAATGACCCAAAAATGCATTTTCCACTCTCCTTGCACCAAAGAGTATTTTCCATTTTGCTGCACTGTGCAGCGTGATTATGAAACCAGGGTGGCTTGAACAGCATGTTCCTATTACTTTACTAAACAAGATTAAATCCTTAAGTGGAGAGTTATCATTGTTGTTTTTCAGTGCTCTTTAAAGGTAATTACACAACATAGTTCATTTGATTTTCATTCTCTATCAACAGGGTCAAGTCTGCATTTATTACTTTCATTTTGTTAAATGGTTTCATTTCACAAAAAAGGACTGTATGCAGAACAATAACGTCTCATCCACCTCAAGTTATAAAATATTAGTTATATATTATTATATATTATTTTGATATATTTCAGGTTATTTAGAAAAAGTATCTTCCATGCTACTTAACACAAATCTTGTATGAATTAAGAACATTAGCCAGAGTAGCCAATTCATTACTCAACCATCAAGCTAAGAACACATATTAAATGGCAAACAGTGCTAAAAAGGACAATATGGAGCTGGTTGTGGTGTAAGCGCTAGCTTAGCTAGCAAGCTAACAGCTAGATACACACAAGAAAAGGTTTGCTCCATCGCATTTAAGTCTTCAACATCTAAACATATGTAAATAGATAATAAGCTAGCTGGAGTTAAACCAATACTGCGGTGTGCAGTCTGCTAGCTAAGCTATTTCTAGCAGCTAGTGCTAACTAGGACAGTGGAGCTGGCTGTGGTTCAAACACTAGCTTAGCCAGCAGGCTAACAGCTCCACACACCATGGCACATCAACTTGATAAATATAAATGAAATCCAACTACTTTGTCTTAGCGAGAGAACATTCTGCACTTGCTAAACATCACAATCTTTAGGACAGGCGTGTTCTGTACACAGAGGTTTCCTATAGTAATCCTCTCATTAGCATGTTAGCATATTGGACCATGATTTCAGTTCATGGCGTATGAAAATAAGCTGACATGTAGCACCACAGGAATCGTTTCTAATGGAAGTGCTGAGATGTGAAATGTGAAATTTGACACAAATTCCAAACTATATAAGTATAATAAGCCATCCAGGAGGAGTTAACCATTTAAAGAGCATTTTTGGATACAAGGGTCTCAAGTCAACAGCAGGCGCATCTGGACGTATACAAATGGTACATACATTTACTGAGTGTAGTTTCCTTTCCACCACGCTACAGTACAAACTACTGAAGAGTATGTCTGCTCAAGATGGTGATTTATTCACATTACCATCACTTGTATCAACATTCTATTTGATGTGTAGCAGCCCATTCAGAATTTTTGCTTTTAGGTACATTTGCGGATACATTTACATAAATACTTTGACCAATTGTACATGGAATCATATATGTGCATAACCTCGCCTGATATATTCAAGAAAAAAGGAGGAAAAGAAAACGATTGGTAGTTCACCTAAAAAAACAAAACAAAAAGAGCTTATGGCTTCCCAAGGGCATGCTTGAGAAACAGAGGCTTGACATGTTTGGCGTTTTGGAAAACTCAGCAGGAATCTCCAACATGTCTAATTTGTCATGGTAGTTACACTCCTTAAGCACAAGCGTACATTCCTGGACCAAAATTTGGAATTGGAATTGGAACTTCATTGAGGAAACAGAGTAAACAGAGCCAAAACTGAAGTTTTTTATGCTCCTCATTGGCCGTCTCTAGATTTAGGCCATTATAAGTTGGCGAATCCGTTCTCCATGGACAACGATGTGATCCATTTTCTTGCACTGACAGTGTTTTAGAGCTGTGTGGTGTGTTATGGTTTGTTATCTTTTGTATTATCATTAGAAATCAACAATACAGAGATGTATACATAAGGAGCGATAAGCACAACAGGATCCATCTCTCATGGAGATAAGGCCAAGTTCATTGAGTCCATAGACAGGGCCTTACTCGTTTACAGTCATTTTTCTCTCTAAAATATGTGTGCTCTGCTAATAATATTAGCAGAGTTATATTTCACTCATTTTCTAGCAAAAATATGCAGGATCTGCTAACAGCAGTCAAACAATAAATCTGTATCAAAGTACCTTAAAGACATGACTCTCATTTTTCAAAAGAACATTATGTAGTTGTAGTCATATATCTTTGTATATATCTACCATTATATATATCTATATGTACCACAAAATAAATTCTGCTCAATATCATATTCTTAAAACCCCAATGTAACAAAAAGATTGCTTTCATTGTGTAGGAAAAGACTATGAAAAAGACATTTTCATAGCATGCAAATAAAACTAGTGTAGATCAATGTCCTCTTTTCTCTCCAAGGATGATGAAAATTCCATCCAACTGTCTTTTCTCAGAAAGGACCCAAATGTGCCACATTCAGCACAGCAGTTCAGTCACATCATACTGAAGCTTTAGTGTAAACAGTCTCTGGATGTTCCATTACGCCCATTGTTTGATGGATTGGATTGTAGTCCAAAAGAAAGCAAAGCAGTCTTGGTTGAGAGAAAAAAGAAAGAGAGGCTATACCCCCAGCAGCATGCCCATGAAGTCCGAGCCGTTCTGTATTGTGATGGAAGCTCCTGCTGCATTGTCCACAAATATGGATGTGTACTGGCCAGCCTAGAGGGAAAACCACCAGTCTTAAATAAGTTGGCTGCTGAGTCTGAGACCGTTCATGTTTTGTTAGTATCAGTGCTTTTTTACAGGTACAAGTACTATTAAAATAGCACAATATCAGGCTGAAACCTGATACCAGTATCGGTACTGATGCACCTCTTCACTACAGCTACAAGGCTAATGTAAACTAACAAGTAAGTTCAGCTTATACCCTATACCGTTCCTGAATCATCACACAGTTGATTCAGAATTAGCTTTAATTTAATTGTGCCCAATTCCACTTGCTATGTTTCCCCTTATCAACATGATGCTACCAGGCTGGGAGGGTAAAGTCAGAATGGGTTTCCAACAAAACACATTAAGCCATCTTTTTGAACTTGCGCTAACACAACGTCAATGGACAGCTCAACACAATTTGAGGAGTACGTTAACTACCAACTCTGTTACATCTGCTAATAGATGCCCACATTGGCTAGCATCGCGCTGAGCAATAATGGGGGCTATTATGCTCTCTTGGACTTCCAGCCATGGTTGTGGCATCACCAAGGCTCGGACTCAACAATAGGGTGAACACTAGTTGTTAAGACTTTTTTTTAAGTAGGTAAAACACAACACAAATTGATGAGGTATAAGCTTTCATAATTTGTTGGCTACATTAGCCTCATGGCCAAGCCACTCACCTGGAGTTCCAGCAATCCATGAACATATACTGTGAATATCTTGCTGTTACTCTCCAAGCCAACAATCATCTCCAAGGACCTACACAAAAGTCAAGGTGAAAATTATTAGGATGCAAACCTAATCTGGCAAGTAGTTCCTACTACATCATACAAAGCAACCTGACATTGTTTGAAATTCATATGAAACATTCAAAAAGTTGCTCCCAACCCTAAGCTTACTTCTTGCTAATTTAAAGCTACAATTTGTACGTTTTGAGAATTTGGCATTTTGACTGTTTTGATGTTTTGAATTCACTCAGTGTAATTGCACATGACAAGTGGAAAAACATTTTGTTATTTGGGTTGCACTTTGGACCTTTGGAACTTCTTTTCACGATGGGTGACATGATCCGAAAAACTCCTGTGAAATCCGACCCGACACCTCTGACTTTTAAATGATCATTTCAGGCTTTACAGGGTGACTCACAGCAGCACACGCATGTGTTTTTCTCCTGACTCCTGACTGAGTAATGCTACTTCTTTTAGTGTTCACAAAAAATCGTACATTGTGCAGCTTTAACATATTGGTTATTCATAGAGATCATGCAGAGTTTGACTTTTCCTTCTGAACAAGCTTTTACGAATGACCCTTAAAGACTGCTGCTAAGATTAATACCGTTTTCTAGTCATGGCAGTGTTCATGCACGAGGCAGCTAATGTCAGATCTTCTGGTCAAATGCACAAGCTGAAGTGACGTTTTGCCTAGCAGAATTCCTGTGGGGCAGGCTGAAGACTCAGCGGCTGTTTTGGGCCCTTCTCCTCCTGCCGCATCCACCCACTCCTCTTGGGTGGAAAATGGAGAATTTTCATGGTGAATCAATCATGCTGGTCTTCTCTCTAGCTGCCATCTCAACAAGCCTCATCTCACATTCTCTGCATTTTCGAGTGGGTGTTGAAATGGAAAAACCCAGCTCGCTTTTTCCAAATTAGCCCAAAATTATGTGAACTGTTCTTCTGTTTTTGTAGACTGTATGTAACAGTCCCAGTAGTTGACAAGGCATGTGTCTTTAGTTGAGCACATACTGTACCACAGCAGTGATATGTTCACTGGTTGTGACTGTTCTTGGGTTGTTTGCTGGGATACTATGAATATATCATGAAGCTTTTTTCTAAAGCATGGTCATATAATAAACAATATCCGCAGATAAATACTGGCCATATGAGCTCAGTGACTTTTAACGTGGCACTGTCATAAGATGGTACCTTTCCAACAGGTCAGTTTATCGAATTTCTGCCCTGCTAGAGCTGCCCCAGTAAACTATAAGTGCTACTCTTGTGACATGGACATGTCCAGAAGCAACAACAACTCAACCAAGAAGCAGTAGGCCACATAAACTCACACAGCAGGACAAGGATGTGTTTATATAGCGCGTAAAGATCTATCCTTGGTTGCAACACTGCTTTGCTTTGAAGGTAATGCCAGTACAAGAACAGTCTGAGAAGAGCTTCATGTACTGGGTTTCCACAGCTGAGCTGCTGCAATGCAAGGCTACGAGCACCATGTGCAATACTAAGTGTCGTCTGGAGTGGTATAAAGTATGCCGCCATTGGACTCTGAAGCAGTGGAAACATGTACTGGGAAATGATGAATCATTCTTCTCTATCTGGCAGTCTGATGGACAAATCTGGATTTGGCAAAGGCTAAGAGAACACTTCCTACTCAAGTTTGGTGGAGTGGAAGTGGGAATAATGATCGGTCCCTTAGTTCCAGTGAAGTAAATCTTAATGCTACAGCATAAAATGACATACTAGAAAATTGTGTGCTTCCAACTTCATGGCAACAGTTTGGGAAAAGGCCCTTTCCTGTTTCAACATGACAGCGTCTCATTGCGGAGAGGTCCGTAATATAGTGGTTTGCTGAGTTTGGTGTGGACAGAATTGACTGGGCTCCACAGCAAATGGAAGTAAATCCCCACAGCCATGTTCCAAAATCTAGTGGCAAGCACAGTAAGAGCAAGAGGGGGACCACCTCCATGTTAAGATGCATAAATTTGGAATGAGATGTTCAGTGACGACATACAAATGTGCCGTTTGGGTGTTAACAAGGTTAAAAAATGTACCAGTCCATATAGTCTATGGACATAAATCCACAAAAACAGGCCATTTTTAATTTGTCATAGTTGTGATGTCACAAATGTTTGCTTGTAGTCTTCCTAATGAACCAGGCATTGCAAAGAAGTAAGGAACAGCTAAAGTTTACAATTTCCAATGTCCCTGAGAATTTCAGTGAGAAACTAAACAGTTTCAACCTGGACTGCTTTTTGAACAAAGCACAATACAGGGCAGCCACTCAGACCAGATGTCATTTACATATATAACTCTTAAAGGCACAGTAATAAAAACAGCCTGTTTAACTGAATTGGATAAAGAGAGGTTGGAAAATGGTCATAAAAATGAATTACGATTGTTTTTAGTACATAAAACTGCAAAAGTTACGAGTGAATTTAAAGGGTAATAAGTGTAATTCAACGAAATTATCCAATACAGGCCCTTCAAATAAACCTCTAGCACCTCAGACAGATTTCTAGGCACCCCTCCCCCACCTCCCATGATGCAAAGAGCAACCAGGACCCCTTTGAGTCAAAGGTGGGGCTCTTAAGGTGACCGGACCAGACTGAAGGTTCGAGGACATTTCATTTTAAAAGGCCTGCTCCACTTTAAGACAGGAAATGCCTTGCTGCTTCCATACAGGCCGGAACAGACAGGATGATTTACAGCCTATAAATTCTGGCGAAAGACAAACTGGCATTGGTACATCGATTGGATTCAATAAGTGTTCCTCAAGCTTTCTGCCCACAGTGTAGCTAGAGCAACACCAACAAACAACTAATTACTGCTGGCTTAGGGATTTGCCTGGATCTGCCCTCGTTTCCCCCCCCAGTCATAAACTAAAATCATTTTTGTTTGATTTGTTGAAGAGGACTTTTACGACATGCGTTCACTTGCCTGAGCCACTGAAATAAGAACCACATGGTCTTAATTCCAAGAGGAGCCCAAAGAAAAATACTAATTTTCATCTACTGGTGATGTATTCCTATGAGCCTGGGTCATACATGAATTTATGTAGATGTGGATGCGGTCGATGGAAACGGAGTCAAAATCGAGCGTTTGGCCATGATAAATACATCAGGGGAAATTATACAGGCGACTGACTTTCCTACCAAAATTGCTGGTATCAGCATAGATGTCTCCAACATCAGCCTTGTTAACAGAGTTGACACTGTCTGACAACAGATGTAGCTGAAGCCACTGAAAATGACAAGCGGCGTTAAGAGGGCCAACAAACGGAATCACACAGAACGTGCCATGCAATCATGCATATCACATTTTTAAAGCCTGACATCGTAAAATGGTCTACAAACAGTGATGACATTCTGATACTTAGAAACACTGCAGGCATACGCAGTGGAATCTGAAATAACAGCATGACCAACACAGCAAGAAGAGAAACCCTGAAAGAAGCATAACTTGGTTTATGTAAACACCTACCTGGCCTCCTTTTGAAATGTTACATTAAAGGAACATTCCAGCCAAAATTAAAATTGCAATCTTTGCTATAGCTGTTGTAAACATGCTTACACACATTTTACAGAGGTACTGCTATCCTCTATAGAGTGAGATTTTCTAATTTAAAGACCAGGAAAACCCTCTTCTGATGTATCTTAAAGGTGGGAGGAGCTTTTATAAAGAATTAATAGTGCTTTGGGGTGGATTTTTCGAGGCGATTTGAAAGGTTATTATTGTTATTATTATTTTTTGTTAGCTGGTAAATCAACCCAAAATGTGTGAACATATATTTGCACATACTAAAAAATGTTTTTTGTATTTCTTTGGAAAAAATGTATTGATGTTTTAAAATCCATGTACTAAATATATCGTCGCTGTCCAAAGAAAAACACGTATCTCCATTTTTGTCGATATTAACCTTTCTACATCATTTGAGCTCAGCAGCTGCCCTTTACATTATGAGAAAGTTTTATGATGAACGGACTAACAGAAATACTCCAAAATTGCATGGAATCAAATCTATTTACATTAACTTACATAGAAAGTAAACAAGATTTTTGCCCTCTCCTGTAAACTTACCATTTTGGAGATGGAGTTGTTTTTCGTTGGACAATGACGATATTTAACTGTGTCATTTTTGAATATTTAATGCATAATGCATGCCAACATATGCATGCATGTGTCAATACACTGAAATATTTTGTTGTCAAAACAAAACCTTATATGTCCAAAATAGTAAGTTTACAAAAGGGAAAAAAATCTTAATTTTTAATGTAAGTTAATGTAACAGGATTTTATTCGGAGTAACATTGGAACATTTGTATTGGTCTGTTCCTCTTGAAATTTTGACACAATGTGAAGGAAAACTAGCCTTTTCACATTACAGAAAAAGTTTAAAAAAAATGGAGAAACAAGATTTTGTTCCAATGATATGCACATATATAGACATATGTACACATTTGCATTTGGGCAGAAAGAAGCAAGAAAGCTAATGCTTGAAACACAAATATGTTATTGCAGTGATACAACTGTAGTAATTGTTTGCTAAAAATCATTAGAAAAAAGAATGGATTAAAGGCAAAAGTTAGCAAGGCAGCTACTATTTAACCAGCTATCTAGATGTTTTACTTCACTTTGGCTTCTTTTCTCTGGCTTGTAAGGGTAAAAGCTTATCTCTAGAGTATTTTGCTGAACAAAGATAGCAAACGCTGTTTTCTTTATGATTTTATTTGACGATCAAGGTAGGAGTGACACAAATGGTGAATTGGTTTTATTTATTATCCTATACATCAAAGGCTATGCTAGTAGTCAGGATTGGATGACACCACAGGGATTCGCAATGGTTGCATGATGTATTTGCATAATGCAAATATGTTATTGCAGCCGTATGACTGTAGAAATTGTTTTCAAATCATCATTACAAGAGAAAATGGATTACTCAGGAGTCAGGAGGTCAAAGAGCTAAAAGCTAATGTTAACAAGACAGCTACTGTTTGAAGCATTTAATTTTGTTCGACAACAGATGTAAGAATGACATTAACTGTAGCGTGGTTGTATTTATTAGCAGATACACCAAGTAAAATAAGAAAATTATATAAAATCGTCAAACCGTCAAACTGATGAGGTATTAAACTTTAGTTTTAGACTTTAATTTCCCTTTAAATAATGAAGTTCTGTTTTCCAAACTATTTTCGAATCTAAACGTCTGAATCAGTGGTCTCCAACCCTGGTCCTGAAGAGCTACCTTCCTGCAGAGCCTAGTCCCACCCACAAGTTTCCACACTTGCTCCACCTAACCAACCTCTTCCCAAGTATGTGATTGGCTGTATCGGATGTATTAAGGTAAAGTAAAGGGTGGAGCAGTTTATTACAGGTTGGAACTAACCCCTGCAGGATGTTAGCTCTCCAGAGCCAGGATTGGAGAAAACTGATCTAAATGGTCTGAAGCACATGTCTCAGGCTCCAGTCCTCGTGGGTCAAAACACTGAGGACTTCAGCACACTGCTTCATTAAACACACCTGATTCAGCTCATCAGCTAATTAGTAAAGCCTTCATGAAATGAATTCAGAGCATCAGATGAGGGTAAACGCTAATATCCGCGGCACTTTGGCCCAGAAGTTCCCCTCAAGGCTCTCAAAATATGTGGGGTATGACATTAATCCAAATGTTGCGTCTCAGTTTAACAATGTTTGCAAAAAAAAATGATGGAAAGATTGTAACAGTTGACAAAGAAAACATGCTCATTTATGAAAAACATTTTTCTAGTATCTTCTAAATAGATATCTCCTAACTTTTGAAGTATATTGCACCCAAATCACTGCAGTGCATCAAAGGATAATCCAAACTACGTGATTCAGTGGCTGGATGACAGCTTACTATAAGTACTGATAAGAGAACACTTACGTGTATCTATGGCACAGCGATTCGATGCATATCAGCACTCTCACATTGTCTCTGGCTCTGAGCTGGTTCTTACTTTTCTTCACCTCGCTGTGGTCTGCAAAACAGAACACACAATCACCTTCAGGTCAGGAGCTACACTTCTGTTCCAAAAGGAGTGAGTGCATCAGAACATTCTGAGACCAGCTGAAGGATGAGAAGAAGTAGAAGAAGAGGGAAAAAAAAAACTGAAATCAGATTTTCCTTTAGAGGAGTAAACATGGCCTGAAGCCTGAACAGTGTCTTCAGTAGTATAAACATGAAGGTATTGCCATATTCCTGACAGTTAGTTCTGGGGAATTGTTATGTCTGATGGAACTTTGTATCTGTAACACAGAGTCAGAGCCAATCACTCTGGACCTCCAGCATGGTCTGAGCGTGGGTCAGCAGCAGTTTTGCTGAAGTTGTGAAGGGATGCTGAGCTTGTGCCATGGTCTACTGCTGAGAGCTTGGTGGCGACACTAGAGCTTAGGAGAATTTAGCATGCTGAGGCTCAGGGGCTTATTTCACTAGAACCATACGTGGTTGTCTCTCAGAGAAGATGGATGGGGCCAGTAGGAGATCCACATACCCATTTCAGAAAAGCTGACTACAGACAGGGTTGAGGCTGTGTGATTTCAATCTTGGCGCCAGCTTTTCTTTTTCATCTTAGCGAGAGACTGGCACTCTTCAGCCTCCAGTCCAGCTTCTTTACTGCTATGTCTTCTGTTGCCTTTTGCACACTTTAGAACTTAATATAGTGAGATTACATTTACATTCACAGTATTTGGCAGACGCTCTTACCCAGAGCCACTTACAATTTGATCATTTTTACACAGGAAGGCGGAGGTAGTGTTAGGAGTCTTGCCCAAGGACATAAGGCAGTAGTGTAGGGTACTAACCCAGGTGGGGATTGATAACTATAAGGTTAAGTTTTCAGAATGTGCTACTGAGCATATGTCCACCTATACGGCCTACAGCAGTTTAGCCCCGTTCAGCCTCGCCCATTTCTCACTGGAGTTATAAGGAGAGTTTCGGCCTGGACTGCTTTTTGGATGAGTCTATGGCGGGCGTTCACAAATTCGGTCCTGGAGAGCCAGTGTCCAACACAGTTTGGTGATTTACCTGCTCCAACACACCTGATTACACTTACCTGTTAATTTCCAGGTTAAGTGGGTGTGTTTGAGCAGAGAAACCTCCAAACTGTGCTGGACAGGACGGGAGTTGTGCACCACTGGTCTATGGGATAAAACAAAGCTACAATTCCAAAAAAGCTGGGACAGTATGTGAAATGCTAATGACAACAGAGAGCTGTGCTTAGTAAATTCTGTATTTCCTGTATTCCATCAAAATAGTACAAAAACGCAGTATTTGATGCTTTACCTTCTTTTTCATAAATATATGCTCGTTCCATATTTGATGCCTGCGACACGTTCCAAAAAAGTTGGGACAAGAGCATGTTTACCACTGTGTTACATCACCTTTTCTTTTAACAGCACTTAATAATTGTTTGGGGACCAAAATAAACTGATCCAATTTCGAAGCAAAATTTTCTTGCCATTCTTCTGTTATACGACTGTTTAGCTGTACAACTGTACAGGGCCTTTGATGTCATATTTTGAACTGAATAAAACACACGGTTTCAGTTGGAGACAGTTCTGGACTGCAGGCATGCCAGTCTAGTGATGCTGTGATATCAATCACAGAAGCATGCCAGTTTTTAATGCAGTGCTGACTGAGGGATCAAAGGTCATAGGCTTTCAGTTGTGGTTTGTGGTCTTGACCTTGACGCGCAGACATTTCTCTGGATTCCCTGAATCTTTTGATAATATTATGCACTGTAGAGGGTGAAACACCTACAATCCTTGCAATCTCTGTCTGAGGAACATTATTTTTAAACTGTTGAATTTCTTGCTGATGCATTTTTGGCAAAGTGGTGAGTATTGACACATCATTGCTCATAAAGGACCAGGCCTTTCCTAGATGCTCCTTTTATACCCAAGCATAACTGCAAGATGTTTTTTGAACATTTCACAATGTGAAATGCCTTAAATCCCATCTTGTTGCAAGCCTCAATTTTCAGAATTGTTTATTAACAAAAGAACAATGAAACTGATGTGTAACACATTATATATCTTGGCCTTGTATTGTATTTGTTCAAATATAGGTCAAAGTACATTTAAAATCACTGGTTTCTGTTTTTATTTTTTTTCCTGCAGTCCCAACTTTTTGGAATCAGGCTTATAGTAAGGTAAAAATGAATTATGACTGGTTTTGGTACAAAAGCATTGCAGCCCATTCAGACCACTTTCCTTAGCTGAGGAAGGCTTACTTCCAACTCCTGTGATCACTACAGCTCAGTTGTGGAAAGATGATTTTATTATGTATATCTACTAAACTATAGGATATCCAATTGACATAAGACAGTAGGCCTGTAAAAATTCCACAGATCTTCACCAATTTCTGTAGTATTCTATCACTGAAAGTCATTCAAAGTGGTCTGATGTGGTCTGTGCTTCTTTCCATAGAAACTTACCCGGTCAGAATTGTTCACAGTGGTGGTGATAGAAAAAAGACATCTGCAGAATTTAATGCACCCCTCACTGAAAGTTATTACACTAAATGGTTACAAATGCATTTTCTGATGCCTTGTTTTCTGAAAGTTCTGAGATAAGCCATTGGCCTAAAACCTACACAGCAAATTTGGCAGTGTTAAAAAGTGTTGATTTTTCAGAGGTAAAATTTTAATGTTGATGAATTTTGATTCTGAAGTTGGTTTTACACCCATCACGTTGATAGTGGTAGTAGTGGTGTATAGGGGAGTGTAAGCACCAGCACTTTTTGAAAGAGATGTTCTGGTTGTTTTTGGCAGTCCAAGTGGTTGATGAGTAAGGTAATTAGAAAATGGATTTGCTGTGAAGCTGGGAATCAACTGAAGTCATATGCTCATAACGATTAACACCATTTAAGTTGACAACTCCAGTGCAGTAATGAATTAACCCCTGTGTTCTAAACAGTACACACATTCTGGTGTACCATGCAACACATGAGTGATATAACAACAACACCTTTAATGTTAAAATTTTAACACTTAAAGTGGTGTAAAATACCAACACTTTATAAAGTGTAACTTTAACTCAAATAGGTGTGGACTACACACTGAGAAAGTGCTAAAGTTAATATTCACAATGTAGATTTAACACTGGCAAACTTGCTGTGTATTTTTAAAATACATGCAGGGCGCTCTAAGGCTAAGTAGCAACCAAAGAAAATGTTTTTTTTTCAGATTTACCACTATTTTACCTTTACTGACATTACATATAAAAACCGGATGTGTAGGTTCACTGGTGGGTTTCGATACTAAATAAAATAGATTTATTTGCATCGTAGACATTGTGATCTCTGGTTCCTTTCACCACCACTGCGTAGAAATCTGAGTCAGTAAGTTTGTCTACAATTAACCATTTTACTAGTTTGAATGACTCAATTTACATCTCAATGACTGAATTATCCATACGTTTTTTTAAAAAATCTATGCAATTCCCCTTTAAGCCTTAACTTTAAATTGCATTCTATTATTGTTTTTGCTTCCATATCTGCTTCAGTGTCGGGAATCATGAACAAATCACCAAATGACAGTGTTGCTATTATTATTATTATTATTATTATACATACATACATCATCTAAACCGCTTATCCTTCTGGGTCGCGGTGGGGTGCTGGAGCCTATCCCAGCTGTCATTGGGCGGAAGGCAGGATACACCCTGGACAGGTCGCCAGTCCATCGCAGGGCAGACAGACAGACATACACATTCATACACACACTCACACCTAGGGGCAATTTTAGCACGTCCAATCGGCCTGATTGCATGTCTTTGGACTGTGGGAGGAAACCGGAGTACCCGGAGGAAACCCACGCAGACCAGGCAAACTCCACACAGAAATGACCCTGGTCGCCCGGCCGGGAATCGAACCCAGGCCATTCTTGCTGTGAGGCGACAGCGCTACCCACTGCGCCACCGTGCCGCCCATTATTATTATTATTATTATTATTATTATTATTATTATTATTATTATTATTATTATTATTATTATTATTATTATTATTATTATTATTATTGCTGTGTGTAAACATGTTGTGGAATGACCTCATCATCTTTCCTTATAAAGTCGGTGTTAACCCCTTAAATTCATCAAAAATGAGGTGTGCTTTACAACTTCTTATTGCATTGAATGTAGCCACAGAAGAATGCATTTGTGGGCAGAGCATGGACAAGTCAGTCCAACTTCAATGCAAGATCCTTCATTAGCCTATCACTGTGTAAAATCTACATATATCCTGCACATATATTGAACAAATTTATTATCCTAATCATTTATATAGATTGAAATACACTATATTGCCAAAAGTATTCGCTTGTCTGCCTTCACACGCATATGAACTTGAGTGACATCCCATTCTTAATGCATAGGGTTTAATATGATGTCGGCCCACCCTTTGCAGCTATAACAGCTTCAACTCTTCTGGGAAGGCTTTCCACAAGGTTTAGGAGTGTGCTTATGGGAATTTTTGACCATTCTTGCAGAAGCGCATTTGTGAGGTCAGACACTGATAGTGGATGAGAAGGCCTGGCTTGCAGTCTCCGCTCTAATTCATCCCAAAGGTGTTCTATCGGGTTGAGGCAGGCCAGTCAAGTTCTTCTACACCAAACTCACTCATCCATGTCTTTATGGACCTTGCTTTGTGCACTGGTGCGTAATCATGTTGGAACAGGAAGGGGTCATCCCCAAACTGTTCCCACAAAGTTGGGAGCATGAAATTGTCCAAAATCTCTTGGTCTGCTGAAGCATTAAGAGTTCCTCTCACTGGAACTAAGGGTCCGAGCCCAACTCCTGAAAAACAACCCCACACCATAATCCCCCCTCCACCAAACTTTACACTTGGCACAATGCAGTCAGACAAGTACCGTTCTCCTGGCAACCGCCAAACCCAGACTCGTCCATCGGATTGCCAGACGGAGAAGCGTGATTCGTCACTCCAGAGAACACGTCTCCGCTCTCTAGAGTCCAGTGGTGGCGCTTTACACCACTGCATTCAGCGCTTTGCATTGCACTTGGTGATGTAAGGCTTGGATGCAGCTGCTCGGCCATGAGAACCCATTCCATGAAGCTCTCTACGCACTGTTCTTTGCGCTAATCTGAAGGCCACATAAAGTTTGGAGGTCTGTAGAGATTGACTCTGCAGAAAGTTGGTGACCTCTGCGCACTATGCGCCTCAGCATCCGCTGACCCCGCTCTGTCATTTTACGTGGCTTACCACTTCGTGGCTGAGTTGCTGTCGTTCCCAATCGCTTCCACCTTGTTATAATACCACTGACAGTTAACTGTGGAATATTTAGTAGCGAGGAAATTTCACGACTGGACTTGTTGCACAGGTGGCATCCTATCATGGTACCACACTGGAATTTACCGAGCTCCTGAGAGCGACCCATTCTTTCACAAATGTTTGTAGAAGCAGTCTGCATGCCTAGGAGCTTGGTTTTATACACCTGTGGCCATGGAAGTGATAGGAACACCTGAATTCAAAGATTTGGATAGGTGAGTGAATACTTTTGGCAATATAGTGTAGATATACTTAATGTAACTATCGATTGGGTTAATGCTGTGCTGACTTGAATATAGCCAAGCAGGCTACTCTCTGTAAGCAGTGACAAACTACCATAAGATTCTGGGAGCAAACTGTCTCTAGTGCTATAAAGCAATAACATGAGGTGCTGATGTCTAGCTACACCTATCAAAAACACATTCCACAGTCAATGCTGTAATCCACAGTCATCTATACTTCCAACTGATAAACAGAGCCATTTCCAGGCATGAAAAAAATTCCTGTGATAGGTGCGTAGCGAAGCACCTTCTTACCAATATGAACGTTGGCAGAGAACTGATAAATTCCAGTGATGGGCGCTGTGAAGCGGCCGGTGGACTGATCCATCCCCGTCCCTCTGAGGAAGGCACCTTTGGCAGGAGGCTGGAGGTAAGAGGCAGGTGAGAATTATTGAGAGCTGCAATGAACGCCAGACACCAAACAACCAGTTCCTACTTGTGGAAGCTACTGGCCTAAAATCCCTGACAGTTGCTCTTTAGAAAAACAAAAAAAAAAACAAAAAACAAAGCAGAGAAATCTGCAGAGAAGTTGAAATATACTGAGCATTCTGGGGGCATGTAAAAGCCTTTGAGTAGCGTTCCAAGCTATGAAATGTTTTAAGAATGCATTTTTTTTTTCTCAAAAGAACTTTAATACTCCACAATTTAATAACCTCCACATACACTGTTACAAAATAAATCGGTTTTTAGGGTTCGGTTTGGGAGCACATAGCAGTTAAACGTTCAGAAATATGTAAGAATCTGCCAAGAAGCCTCTGATTCTGTTTTTGATCAGCACTGTATGGGGCAGTCATGCCAGGCCACATTATTCTGCACTACGCCTTCAGAATTCACCACGGCTTCCAGGCCTTCTCCTCAGAATGATTTTGCAATGTGCATACAGATATACATGCTCAGTATTGCTTCACTGAATTTTGTTCAGATTGATGGAAAGGAAAAATGAATACAAGTATGTAAGGAACGTCTATAAATTAGTTCACACTGCAGTCCCACAAGAAATTCTAATAATAATAAATAAATAAAAATAAAAACAATGAAGAATTCAGACCTTAGATATTTACAAGGATTATCATTTAATCATCATTTAAATGGTGCTTTCTATTGGAAGGTGGCCTAAATCACTAAATTTCAACATCTCTTTTTATTATTAATTGTTTTGCTTATTTATTATTTGTTTATTTGTTTGTTTGCTTGTTTGCTTGTTTGTTGTTCAAAGATCTTTTTGATTTCTCTTACAGTTTCTTTTACAGAAGCTGAAGGATAGAAAAACTGCTGTCCCATGTTTTCATGTCACTACTGAAACACAGAGTTTTAGTCCGTAGGCTGAGCCTGATTTTAGCCACACCTCTTCATTTTAGAGCAGGAAGTGAGACTGCACCCCTGTCCCTCATGGGCACATGGTGAGCAGTTGAATCCCATTGATTTGGAGTAAATGTGTCCCTAAATGTGTTTTTGAATTCTACTCCAATTTAGCTAAAATTGTCACTACCGAAACATTTGTTGAAATTTCTTAAATGTTACTATTGTCACTACTGAAACATATCTTCTCTGCAATTACATAAACTTGTTTGTGCTTTAGTGAAAAATATAATTTTATGTGTTTACAACTATTCAAAGCTGTGTTTGCTAGTCATGTACTTGCTGGTGTTTTTGAGTTCTACTCCAAATTAGTGTTTTGATTGTTTTGGTAGTGACAAAATGGAGTGTTCAATCATTTATTTTAATAAAATAATCAAAATGAAGGTATAGGGTCATACAAAATAAAAGGATTTGAGTCTAAAGTCCAAGTCAGTTAAAAGTCTGAGACTCTGACTTTGAACCAATTTGGTATAATGAGTCGTAATTGTGTATGTAGTAGTGTCTGTCATTCATTTCTAACATGAAAGACTAAAAACTGACATGGCATTTCTCCCAAGTAACCTTCCTGGTACGGAAGGGTGTAATATATTTTATGGGAAAGGTTTAAAATCACTCATTCTAATACAGTTTATAACAATGCTCCCGTCAGGCCCATATTTCATTAAATCACGCGCCTCTAAACTCTTTCTTTGGACGGTTCAGTGAGATGCTTGGCACCACAGCTTTTGGAGAATCTTGTCTACATTCATCAAAGGTCTATTTTTTCCACTCCTGCTGGAGGGGCCACTTCACAAATCACAAAGATTTCCCCCTGCTCCCAGCTCTCCGTATATGCCAGCATCTGGCTCCTCCATGCCAGCCTCATCAGAATGTCACAGGGCATAGCTCTTCCTTGAAACAGCATGCTGTTTCAAACAGCGTCTATTTTTACCCTTCGCTGCTTTCTAGTCCAAGTCCTAGACAGAGTACCTTTTGTACAAAGCCATGAAAGCAATGTGGCACATTCGAAGGAGGAGATATTTTTCAGGACACCCAAGTTTGGTTCGGCCTGGATGACTGGCTAGTACAGATGAAGAAATCCAATCAGGCAGCTGCACTATTTACTCTCCATTTCATAAAATCCATAAATGAAAATGAAGCTGCAAATAATAAGCTGCAAAATCCGCTTGTTTGGAACCTGGATGTCATGAAAACCAACATATTTGCATATATCCAACAGTTCAGTCTACTGCAGTTTAGCTCCACCCATTCACAGTGAAGTTATATGGAGTGTTTTAATCCGTACAGGGTAATAATACAGGGCAGCCAATCAGAACAGAGCCCGTCTTAAAGGTCTTAACAGTGTTTAATTTGAAGGGATAAAGAGAGGCTGGAAAATAGGTACGTAAAAATGAACTATGATACAAATTTTTGATACAGAAACCTTGTTTATAACATTTTAAGCTCTTAATGGCCTAGCACGTCCCATTGGTAAGAATACAAGCCTTTTTCCAGTTCATGAAAATCACAGTAACAATTTTTACAAATATGAATTAAAGTGTAACGTGGTCATTTTTTTTGTCCTGCACAACTTTATTAAAATTAAATTAAAATTGATATGTTGAAGTTGGAATCTATATGACTAGCCATTTTAGCTTTTATTTCCTATTTTTCTTGATCTCATGAATTCATTTTGCACATGCGAAAATTAAATTTGAAGTAGTAAATAAAAAAATTAAAATTCAGTTTTGAGTGTCAAATTTTTATTAGTAAAACTTTCATTTTCACATGTTTTGAGAAGTCATTTAACCCCATGAAAGTATCTTATTTTAAGCATCACAGTATGGATTTAAAGCCCTTTTAGTTATTTTTGCCTATTTAAAAGCAAGGTTTTTTTCTAGTATAGAACTTGAAGTTTGTTCATTCAGTAAATTTCCAGTAAATTTTGTGCCCAGTGAGGTTTTAACAAAATGATTCATATGCTAGCTTTTGCTTAATTTAGATTTTTTATTATAACAACAGATCAAATTAGTGTTACTTAAATGCAGCCACAATGCCTTAAACCAATAAATATGTATTTTAAATATTTAAATTGTAAGATTATGGGATCGTTTGCAGCCCAAGACCTTTTTTTCTTGTTTTAAGAAACCTTTTTTAATCCACCGATAATCTTGCTTGAGGTACTTCTTGATTTGGTGATGTTTTTGACTCTGATTTCTTGCAGTGTTCCAAATAAAGTCAAGAACTATTCAGAAACCTTTCTTTTTAAGAGTGTAGTTCTCATGTGCACGTAAAGGCCCATCATTTGGAAAGCTTTTTGCAAAGTCAAGGAAATTCGGTATTCTTTAAAACTGTCACCAAGACTGCACCACTTGCAGCCAAGTGGAACCCAGACCAAAATAAGCCAGGCGAAATCCTTCTCGAAAGACTGGAATCTGCGCTGGCAGTGGTTTAACCTGCTGCAAAAAAGGAGTCACCCACTTTTGCACTTTGGTAGAGCTATCACTGAGGCCCAGTGACTGTCTCTCAGTTTTAAATGGGTTACTTCATCACTAGAATTGACACTGCTTTTACCTGCTCTCTCCCTCTGTCTCCATTTGCATGATGATGCTTCTTTGTTGATTTACTGTTGGTGCTTCTCTGCATGCAGGTCACAAGACAAACCGAGAGCCTCTCCCAACTTTGCTTCAGCACACCTGCTTTTGTTTTCATGCATGTGTGCGTTTCATGAAAAGAGAATATCTAGATGTGAGCGAAAGCGACCATAGCCCTTGTGGTGAGGTAATGCAGATGGGGATGATAAGCAATAAAACAGTGGCTGGAGAGAACAATGGAGAAAGAAAAACACGCAGGGTGATAAAAGACTTTTGAGGATAGATAGAAATACTGGAAAAACACTGCTGCCTACAGTAGATGTATTTTCAGACATCTCTGGTGAGCGATTGCGCCGAAGAACCGCTGTACTTATTATTTATCTAGGGCCGCACGCCACCTCCCAAAACATTCATCCATTTAAAAGCTTTTGATCAAGCAGAACTGATAGATTCCCCTGAGGAGTGTGTCTTCATTCCCTGACGCATAAGTCTTAAAGCCCAGTTCACGGCCGTCTGACTAGACCAGACTATGGAGTTTTAGTATGATGAGAATATTATCACTATAAATGATGGTCCACACTGAAGAGCAAAACTTTAAAGGCACTCAAAAAGTAATAATAAGGTGTTCTTGTTCACCGATGAGGCAAATATGCTGGCATTTTCTTACTTGATGCTCCCATTTAGAGGGCGTTTGATTTTGTGATTTATTACTATAACATTTAGAGGCAGGCATACAGTGATGGATGATCATTAGGGCTGTTCATTTCCAGAACTTCTAGATTCAACTGCGATTCAGAGTGATGGGAATTGATGGAATTTCCAGGTTGATGCAATAATATAATGACTTTCTTTATTCTCGATTCCAGAAATCAAGACATAGGCCCTTTGCACTTGTACCCGTGAATTTAACAGTAATTAAAAAGGAAGGGGTTGCGTGTGAAACCAAGCCAGAGATGACATCTCAGTAAGATTGATGCAGCACAAGATCTATTAGATTTCCCACTAAATGGAGGGTTTAAATGTGCACAGAAGCCAATACATTACCAACAAAACAATGGGCCTCATTAACCAATATCTAGTTTTTTCTATTTGTTGTTGAGAAAGGTCCTAAGAAAAAGTCTACATCAGATTCATGATGTGTTCTTAAAATGGAGAACTGTGCACACCTTTGTGCTCTTGAATATGTGTAGATTCTGTTCGTACCTAAAAATAAATCCCAAATAAGAAAACACTGGTGAATGTCAGAATGTTCGTGAAAACTGCATAAGTGGATTTTAAGAAGAAATTTCTTCTTGACCCTCTATTGCATGGTGTTGCCATATGGCAACAATTACTTTATCTCAATTTTACTAAGATGCAGTAATATAAAATCTGTGTTTACCTATTTAGTTGCGGAAAAAGGGTCTTTTACTTTGAAAGGACAAATTCCTTATGACATCACATGACCTGGAATTCTTATTATGATGTTGTTATTACCATACATTGAAAATACAGATTGAAATTGTGTTAATTTCCAATATTTGTAAATATTAGGTCATACATTTCAATAAGTATAAATTGGATTTGTTTGGTCTTGTTTTCACTAAAAGGATGTTTATTAAAACAATAAATTTGATTTTACAGTGCTTTTTGTTTAGATTTTATGGCCCTGTGCTACGATTGCACATTGTTGCCATATGGCAACAATTTACCAAGTAAATCAAATATTTCCATTATTTCAGCAATTTTAAATAAAAAAAACATGTAAAAATGTTTTTATCATGTTTAAAGGGTTAAGAACGAGTGAATGAGGTCCTTTGACGTCTTTATTGCAGTCATCAAAGCAGAATGTTCTTGCGTCTAGTTTTCAAGTTTCGTGAATGAAAAACATCACTGGAATGTATTTTGTACATGACTTTAGCAGCATTTCATTCAAACAGAAATGCCATTTTTTCAAATGTGTTGGAAGCTTGATGCAGATTGATTGGACGAACTAATGATACACTGTATACAATGACAAGTCAGCTCAACCTAAAATAATAAGGTAACTGATTCAGTTAACTTTTCTTGAGTTGAGGACACTAGAGTTCACTCAGCTCAAACGTCTTAGTTTGGGCCAAAGATCTCCCAACTCCCTTTTCTAGTTCTGTACATCAGTTAGATCAACAAAAATGCGTATTTATTCAATTTCTCCTCAGGCTAAGACTCTTTCCATCACACTATCCCATCAGACATTTTCTCCTCAAGTGCTTCTGGTTATGGACAGCTGTGGTTTTGCTGGCCTTCAAACTCACAATCTCCTGAAGTTGGGGTGAATTACTAGACAGTTGCACCACATGTGAACATGCTACTTTTCAAAAAAAAGCAAATATATTCTACAGTGTTTTAAACGTTTATGGACATGAACTGTAACTTGAGGTGTTCTCAAGCTGTGCAACAGACCAAGCCATCACCCCAACGGGAGATCACACTGCAAAAAATAGTATCTTGTCAAGTGAAAGTAACTTAATTCTAGTAGACCGATCTAATATTTCTTACTTGGAGATGGTTGTGCTCTTATTATAAGATTATCTAGCTTATTTTTATACTTTTTGTACCTGTTTTAGGTCATTTTATCAAGAAAAATTATCTCATTATATTGGCAGATAATTTTACTGGTTCCAAGCACATTTCTTATGTTATCTGCCAGTATAGTGAGATATTTACCTAATAAAATCGGTTAAAACAAGTAAAACAGTTTGGAAATATGTAATCTTAAAAAAGCTTACAACAATCTCAACAGAAGACATATAAGATTTATTGACCAGATTTGAGAACATTTTACATGACAAGATACGATTTTTTGCAGTGCATGAGTTTGAACCCCAGTAATGCTATAGCCATCCATAAGTGAGTCCCAGGTGCAAATGTCTGATGGAAAGTCCCAGGTAGTGTGGAAACTGAGTTAAAAAAATCTAATTCTATATTGTTTACCTAACTGAGAGGCAAAACATAAAAATTAAGAGAGCCTTTGAACCAACTAAGCTGAGTGAGTTGAGTGAACTCTGCTGTCCTCAAGTTGAGTTAACTCAAGAAAAGCAATGTAATTTGTTACCTTATCATTTCAACTTGTGCTGACTTTCATTTTTAACAGTGTATAACTAAATGATGCAAGTAAAAACTTAGAGGTCAGACATAAAACGCCTTTATACTGTGGTATGCAAAAGTTTGGGTACTCTAGTCAAATGACATGTTTTGTTAATTTTAAAATAAGTTAACACATCCTCTACAGACACACTGTGTTAACACACTTCTGCAAATTTTAATGCACAATTGTTTATTTGCTGAATGTAACAGTGGTCTGTGCTAAAGTTAAGGCACATTTTGTATTTTATGTTTTATTTTTTTCCAGTATGTTAAACTCAGTGAATAAATGGATATTGTATATTAAAATTAGCAGAAAGTGCCGTATTTAAGTTCAAGACACATCAAGAGGATGTGATTTGACTAGGGGTGTTAAATATTTTGCATGTAACTGTACCGGCTCCAAAATCTGATTGGCTGAGCACTCTTCAAAGTCACTGTATTCAATACTCACACAGATGGCTGCATAGATCAATTAAACTCTATATTAATAAGTTATGTTGCTTGACAACTATTGTTAAAAAACTTACATTGCTTAGCAGAATTAATTATTGTGATTATTATTAATTAAACGGTAAGTGATTTATTGAACGTAAGTGTGTTTTGTTTTGTGGCTTTAAGCCACTTTAGGCCATGTGTTACAGTGATTTTACTTTAGCTTGTGCTTAGCTTGTGTTTATGCATGGTAAAGTGGCCGCTCATGGCTTATTGCTTCAGTAAAACATTCTGAAACCATCTTGTCTGAGTATGAACTGGCCTTAACACTTACTGTTTGGAAGTTCTGCAGCTCTGTCAGTGTCTTCTTGTCCACCACTACGGGGCCTCTGAGCTTGCAGTGGAAGGCCTCCTCGATCCTCCTGTAGGACACCATGCCCTCCAGAGCCAGAAGAGCCGTGGGCAGATGGCTGGACCCGCCGGATTTGTCCACCGACGCCCTCCTCTCCGTGGCCTCTGACCAGGCACAGCACACAGACATGCATCACTGTCTGTTTCAGACACGGCTCTGATGCCAAACTAACAACCGTGGTGACCCGAGGGTCTGGGTCCAATTAAAACATTAGCCATCACTTAACTCCTAATCTGTCAAATGTAAATGTTTGCTAGGTGTTAGGAGTGAATGTATGAAGGTGAAAGAGCTGGAAAGCCCAGCTGGAAAAAATATATTTGTCTAATCACGTGTTATGCTAACACTTTATGCAAGTTCTAAATATCTTTTTTTTTTTTTACACCACTTAAAATGGTGCCCATTACATTGCATGAGCCTAGTCAGCAGTTATGTTAATAGTTATGTTAATAGATGCTTATAGGACCCATATGTTACATTTCTCTTGTATTTTATTTGTTTAATGTAAGGTCCACTTATGATATTTGTGTCAGTTTATGTACCAAAAACAGCCACAATTCATTCCTAGATGACCATTTCACAAGATCACTTTATCCTTTAGAATTAAATGAGCTGTTTTTTGTTACTGTGCTTTAAAGACTAATGCGTATAAATGAGTTCTGTCTAGGCTGAAAAACTCATTATAACTTTTGAGTAAATGGGTGGGGCTAAACAGCTATATGGTCAACAGATGGATATATGTAAATCATAAAAGCTGAATTTAAAATTGGTGTTTTTCCAGCTTATTTTCCATATATGAACTATATGTACTGCGGAGTGAATGGTACGTTCTGAAATTTTAAGTGTTTACATACTACATGAAACTTCATACAGGTCTTCTAAGTTGTTTTTTTTTCCTTTCTATAAAGTCATCGTTCTGGAAATATGAGGTTTTATGTCAGTGACGTTATGCTAATGGTTTGTAGAGAAGGCCTAGGGTATGTGTTTGTTAGAGCTCACCTTTGATCATCTCTTTAAACTCCTGCAACAGAACCTCTTGAGTGACCTCTGCTCCGGGGGATCCTGGAGGGCCCTGAGGCCCTGGGGGGCCAGGAGGCCCTGGAGGTCCTGGCTGAAACAGAACACAGTTTAATTCAAGCCCTAATCTCTGGCTAGCTTTACACACCGAAACTTTCATGCAACTAGTTGCAGGTTGCAAGCTGCATGAATTGTAATTTCCGTGCAACTTGACAGTTGCACAAGCATATCAACACTAATATAAGTTGCATGCAACACACAGTGATTCAGTATTTTCCATATATTGTATCACACAAGTGAAATTTAGTTTCATGTACAGTTCTGGGCAAAAATCAGAAACTAGCCTTCACTTATTTCATTTCCAGTCAAAACTGCCATTAGGTACAAGTGTTTTCAGAGTCAAAAATACAGAAAGCACGAACAACTAAATATAATATCAAAATTTTAGTGTTTATTCAGTATTAGGTGTGTCCACACTTTGCTTTACAGCTTCTGTTCTTTTCCAGAGACTTGCTTTCAGTCTTTCAAAGAAATCTGCAGGGATGTTTTTCCACACCTCCTTAGAAGTTGGTTGTATTTTCTGCTTTTCATGATCCAAGTAATTCCTTGGATTTGGATTGAGACCTGGACTCTGGGGTGCTTAGTCCATTGTTCTGAGAACACCAGCATCTTCTTTGTTTGATTTCCTTTGTATTTTTCAGTAACAGCTTCTTCGCAGCTGCACATCATTTCAGACCCATAGTACTGAATGGTCTTCTCACAGTGGAAGGATGGACAGAATGTTTTTTTTTCAGATTTGAACATAATAACTATTTTGACTGGAAATTAAAGCTCTCTGAATTTTGCACATTATTGTTATTTCAAGCAACTAAAGCTGCGTGTATGTTTCACCATGAAAAGCCAGCCTCGGAATCAAATGTTGGAGCAATGAACTCTACAAAATGAGTCCTGTGCTTAGTCATAAGGCATGCCACAACATGACATGATGTATGAGGCATTAAAATGCAATGTACCAAAAGCCATACATTGAGCGTATGGAGGCCTCGCCTATCTAGAAATCAGACTTGTGATGCATGATATTGGTGACATGTACCAGTGGTCGCTTTCGTTTCCGGCACTTTCCTGGGAAGTTGCCCACAGGTCTTTTGACAAAGTCCATCCAAGATCCATGTGGATCTACTCTTTGACCTTCAGTGACCTGTAAAAAAAAAAATCACATCATTTGTTTTTCTTGTTTATAGATTTATATTTCATTGTTTTCTCACTGCCTGTTTTCACACATTGTTATTGCCATTTTCATCCTCAATAAGACTTTAAGAACAGCATCAATTATGCAGTCTATCAGACGTGTCAGCCTAGAATCATGCTCCAATTGGCAGTGGGGGCAAAGTATTGTACCTACGTAACAAAATCCAGTGAGTCATAATTTCTGATTGCAAACCTTCATTGGAAAATCTTGCCTAACGACACTATTAAATGGTGCCAGATATCAAGGCAGGTTGCATTGCTTGCTCTCTCTTTCTCTTTCTCATTCCCTCTCTCCCTCTCCATCTGCCAAACACATTCACGCCAATTGTCTTGAAGATCTGACCCTTCATTTAATTAGCAGTTCTCTCAGGTGCTCCACCAAGTCTTGCCCACTTGGACCTATGAAAAATAAAGAGGCCATCTCCCACAATACGAGAGATTCCACGAACAACAACATGACAGTTCTCCAAGATCTACTGGCTTGTAGGTTTCTCTCTGCAAGTGCATAAAAGCTGCAGTCTAGTAACATTAGATGTTATAAGTCACTCTGGATATGGAGTCTGTTATTCTGGCCTCATCTTTTCAGTAAACATCGAAGACCTGAAGCTCATTTTTCAGTGGGAGACTGTTCGCTCACACAGAGGTTATCGAATATGCAATCTCGAGAATTCTGATATAATTCATGCTCTTTGGCAACAGCTTGAGCACTCCAAATCCCAACCTGGACCGACTTCAATGATCATCAATCAAAGAATGACTCTCATTTTTCTGGACAATTCTCCAAATGTGGCTATTTTTGCAATAGCAGCGTTTTTGATTGCAGTCTAAATACACTACGGTGCACTCTTAATGAGTAATTACACCCTAAAGCTGATTTTTTTTCATTAATATTGCTTCATAGTAATAAATGGCATCAATCCTGCTGACATTTTAACAGTTCTTTTCAAGCTGCGAAAATAACAGAACTACAAAATAACAGGTTAGTTCCTCCTCTGGTTAAACTCTGAATGCTGCCGTATGCATGTACAACATGGATCAGTACTGGAGTATGAATCTACCACACAATTAGAAAATCAGTCAACCAATGTTACCACCAACCAATTAAAAAAGGACATCCTTGAGCTGTGCTGAACAAACATGAGTTTGAAATATGAGAAATAGTTTATTTAACCAGGTAGTTGTCACTTTCCTACCTAATATTAATTTAGTTTATTTGAATAGTCAAGAAAAAACAAGGCAAGTTTCTTGTCCTTTTTTGCCTGTTTATACCAAAAACGACCATAGCTGCAAATTTCTGCTAGCCATTCTATGGGGTTTTCAGTGTTATATTAGCACCTAGTGAACAATGGTGAAATTCACTTCAACAGTTCTTAATTTAAACACAAGGTGACTTTTGTGACAGATATCTGAATGTTCAGATAATCGCGTTCCATTCTATGCATCCCTCTTTGTTTTCTTTCTGATAATTGTCTTTCCTCTCTGCCTTTTTTCAGACTATAAGAAATAAGGCATTTTCTAAATACATTTGTGCATTTCATCAGCTTTACTGTAATATTGTTATGTTTGGATTACAGTAAAGTTAAGCTAGTGGTCTCCAACCCTGGTCCTGGAGAGCTACCTGCCTGCAGAGCCTAGTTCCAACCACAGTTTGCTACACCTGCTCTGAAACTAATGTCATTACTCATTAAAAATAAAGGTGCTAAAATGGGTTCTTTGTAGCGATGCCACTTTTGATTCCTTGTAGTCACTGTACATAGTCAGAAAAGGCTGTATAGCAACCAATATTGGGTGACTCAAAACAAATAATATGCACTGTCGCTAGCTGAACCTTTTGGAGTGAAGACATTAACACCTCCTTTGACATTGAACTGTTGACATTTTATTAAGGTGAAGAGTAGGGCCGCGTGAATTCCAATAACCACAAAAATGACGCGAATCTCCTCGCGCCCTTCCCTAAACGTCAAGCAACTGCGGTTGAGATAGAAGCGGAGATACAGAAGAGCCGTGGAGGTGAGCTGTCTGAAATGGAATTTGTTTAGGTTTGGCAGCGGGACACGGATCACTTATCTGTTAAACTAACATGCCGCTTTTCTTCACAGAAAGACTCTGTTTTTGTGCAGCAACAAAGTAACCCCTTGTTTTTCTTTCCCTATATTCCAGACTGAAAAGGGGCTCATATTTTTGGTTGGTTCTCTTTCCCTCCTTTTTCTTGTGACAGCAGACAAAATAAACAATACTTGACTAGCGCACAAGCCCCTTTGCACTTTGTGTTTTATTGTGCCTTAGAAATCCAGATAGAGATAAAAGACGGGCAGGTTTGCTCGATTGTAAAGATGCTGTTACTGCGGCAGGCAAACCTTCAGATCCTTCAGACCCACTGCATGCTAATTGTTTTCTTACTGTTACAGCTCCGAGCCTGGAATGCTCACAGAATGCTAGGAGTATCAGCATTGACAAAGCAAGAGAGTGCCCAGGCCTAAACACAAACTGAATACTTGAATCCTAAATATCTGAATCTGTACTTTCAACAGAATTTCTCCATTTGTTACAAGTGCTAATATAAAATGCTATCATTACCACAAGCAACAACCGCAACTTCTAATGGTTAAAGACATTAGCCATGTTAGCCAGTTCATCACTTAATAAAAGTAAACCATTAATCTAACCACAACCATTGCTAAACAGCAAAGAGTGATAATAAGGAGGGTATAGAGCTGGGTGTGGTGCAAGTGCTACACAGCTACACGCACAGCCACACAGCTACACACACCACATACTGCTCCCTTAGATTTGAGCCTAAACATGTAAATGGATCAGTCAGCCAAAATCAAGACTATCCTGTGGTGGATGGAGCTGTTAGCCTGGAAGCTAAAAAGCAGTAAAACCTAATTGGCTAACTCAGCTAACTAGGACAGTAGTTGTTTCAATGACAAAGGTTATAGACTGTGATAGTTTCAATGAGCTATAAGTGAGAAATAATTAATATTGAAATGCTTCCATGCTTTTGTTATTGCTGTAATTTTTGTAACTGTGACTTTCAAGAGTAAAGGATTAATAAGAATAAAGGATTTATAATTAGAGCACTGCTTTATGCTTATGGGACCAGGCGGATCTTCAGGGTTCCCAAGCAGTTTCAATCAGCTTAGTTTCTACCAGTGGCCAGTGAGTTTGTCAACACCTTCGCTAAGCCACTTTGAAATATATGGGAATCCTCCAAAAGCACTGTGGCTGAAGAGAATCAAATGGTGCATGTGGAGACACCATAATTCTGTCAAAGCAGGGATTAACTCGGAGCAAAACAAGAACACGAGTTTCGTAGAACTTTGCAGAGGCACAACACTACCCCATTCATAGTAATATGCTAGACCACCTTATGCTCTTTTCAATGCTGCAAAGTGTGAATCAACCGGGCAACACCCTGAGCACATAATTTTGTTTGTTGTGAGCACATAATTAAACGAACAGTGCCATGCCCCGGACGTACCAGCAGATGAGCTTCAAACCAGGATGATGATAATGCTAAATCACAGCCTTCCATCCAAACCATTTAGGTCTTTATTGCCTCTTCTGTAAAGCATCATCTATACAATGCCATTTATGAACAGACATGGTGATACTCCTAGTATGAAAAAACCTTTGAACTAGGTGACTATTTTAAGAAATTGCCCTGACAAAGAGCTTGTATTTCAGCATACCTCCACCTACATGCTTTTATGGAGCCAGGTTTTCTCTGATGATTTCGTTTGTGGTTGTTAAAATAACGGTGCCTTCTGAGGCCAGGCTGCCAAATACTCCATTATGGGTCACGAAAAAAAAAAGCGAAGTAAACCACCTAGACATGGAGACACTGTGTGTGCTGGTAGGAAGAAAAGTATTTCACCCACTAATGTATGCCTCCTACCGAACTGAACTAATCTATGGAAGATGAAAGGAAAGCACAGGCCTCCCAGATTTATTAGTCCATGAATAAAGCACTGATGGGGTGTCAAGTTGGATGTGGATGTTGGAAACACAACAGTTCTGCTCAAACCACGAAAACGAGGTTCAAATATTCTGTGCTTGTTATAAGATAAGCAAGGCCTAATTAGTGAAAGTATGCAGTACACTTACATCTACACATCTGTAATTACAAAGTAATTAGACTGCAAAATTTGCCTAGCCACAGAAAAACTGCTTATCATTGCTTGTGCTGCTTTTGGTTTGGGGTTTTACAAGAAAAACCCTGTGGAGTTTTTGTATTACTTCGAAAACATCTTGGCTTGGACTTGGCAACACTGTATCAGTGTGTTTGTGCAACCGTCTCATTTTTCCCTTTTAACAAGTCACAGTTTTAATGAATTGCAAAGTGCTATAATTGTTATCTACGATTAATAGAATACTTTTATGGTAAATCCAAACATCGTTTGTAAGTTTTTGCATGGCTTTTCAACAGTGAACTTCCTTCACAAAGTACTGCTTGTTTAACATTTAAAGGAAATTTGAAAATTAGCTTATTTTCTGCAACAAAAGTCAGAGAAACAGTTACCAGAGGCAGCGTGCCACAGCAAACATAAACAGAGCCATAAAATTCTGCCTTGTGGCCACTATCAACAGGCATGCAGCACTTCACCATGGACAGTCTTAATGACTGTTTAGGCTTGATTTCTATGTCATTACCATGAGCTTGGTTATTATAACATGATATAACTCAAGCTATTTTTGCCATGACTATGCATTAGGCTTAATATTTTCCACAGCGTTGCATTTACTGACAAGCGTGTAGGCCAAACTCCGAAGCCTATAATTAGGCCCACGCACGCACGGCCTGCACAAACTAGACTAATATCACATAAATACTACACAGAGTCTTTACAAGTTGTCATATTCCAAACGGTCTGCCATTACAGCTAAATGACAGCCATGTTTTCTGTTTACTCGCTCCAGCCCTTATGTGTGGAGCAGGGAACATGG